GAGACTGAGAGCGAGGGGGAAGAATCCAGGAACGAGGAGGAGGAGGATGACAATGACTTGAGGGCTTCCATGAGTCTCTCAAGTGAATTGGAGGATTCCCAAAAGGGGGCGCCCCTGGTCAGGCCAAGGGGAGCCACAGGGGGGACTCGTCAGGAGCAGGGGAGCAGCAGGGAAACCCCGAGTGGGAGTGGGAGATCGGGGCAGGCTTCCCAGCCGGAACGGAGTGAAGAGGGTGGAGTTCCCAGGGTGAAAGGCGGAGCAGAGCAGGAAGCAGAGAGGGGAAGGAGATCGGGGCAAGACGTCCTGCCGGAAGGGGCGGAGAGTAGTACAGAGAGTAGTATAACTGTCAAGAGGAAGGTCAGGGGTAGCGAACGCGCGCCAAGTTCAAATGTGGAGGCGCGCGGAAATGCGGAGAGCCCAGAGGAGGAGCCTGGTCCCAAAGCACGGAGGAGGGGGGAGCAGGCGTCTGGGGACTCAGCGTCAGGGGAAAGCAGGAGGGAAGGAACCCAGGGGGGCAGAAAGACCCTGCGGAAAAGGAAGGACAGGAAGAGGTGGACCAGCACAAGCCTCTTAAACTGGTGTAGAGGCGGGACTGATTCAGAGGGGACTTCAGCGGTCTAAGCGTAACAGACGTGGGGCTGCGCGCCTCGGCTGTGGAACAAACAATGTACTTCAATAAAGACTTTTGTAAATAAAGTGGACTTGGCGTTGGTCTCTTGTGAGTTGGGACCTGAGGCGGCCCTGACACCATGCATCGGGGGGGACGGGGACTTCCTATTCTCTGCATCGCAAGGGTTGGAGGAAAGAGCTCAAGTCGTAATGTTAAGGGCAGAGGAGTGAATCTCCCGTAAATCTCAAGCCACTCCTTCAGGGGCAGAACTTTCAAAGTGAAACTGAGTCCAGGAGCGACCGGTTCCTTTGATTCTGAAGAAGGAGGTGACTGTGCAGAGTACTGATTGGCTACCTGTTGCAACAGCCCAAAAGCTACTTCCGATCCACCACCCCAGCTGGCTGTGCAGAGTGCAAAATGGCTGGCCGCTACAGCAACCACAAAGCCACTGTTTCTGTTCAGCCAAAGCCTAAAGAAACAAACATTATTATTTGTTTAAGAGAAGGTGCTGAACGCATGCTGAAATTGATAAACTTAGTGGGCACTTTGTGGGGGTGGGGAATGTAACCCTCCACCAAGCTTGCTCGAAGCACAGAAGGTGATAGTGGAGAATCAATACTTGAATCAGAAGAGTGATATGTGTCAGTAGGGGAAGGAATAATAATAATAATAATAATAATAATAATAATAATAATAATAATAATAAATTTTATTTATATCCAGCTCTCCCCAGCCTTAGCCGGGCTCAGGGCGGCTAACAACAATAAAACAGTACAAAAGTACAGCATAAACAACACTCTAAAATCATTCATTCTAAAATTAATTAATTCAAGCCACTGGCAGCCATTGGGCCAGAGCTCCGCGAAGATTGCCGAAGGAGGGAGTCAGGCTGTGCCCTTGCCAAAGGCCTGGTGGAACAGCTCTGTCTTGCAGGCCCTGCGGAAAGATGTCAAGTCCCGCAGGGCCCTGGTCTCTTGTGACAGAGTGTTCCACCAGATCGGAGCCACAGCCGAAAAAGCCCTGGCTCTCGTTGAGGCCAGCCTAACTTCTCTGTGGCCTGGGACCTTCAAGATGTTTTTATTTGAAGACCGTAAGTTTCTCTGTGGGACATACCAGGAGAGGCGGTCCCGTAGCCACAGTAGTATAACCTACACTCAACTCTAGAAACCTGATCCTCAGAAGGCTTGGAGCTGTAGTGTACTCTTGGTACAGGATAAAACTTAATGGTTCACCACGTAGGACAGAGATGGGCAACCTATAGATGTTCTTTGATGATATTATTTGTGCTATCATTATCTATCACCCACACAGTCATCTCAAGATAATGTACAATAAAAACGGGGGAAACCAGCTGGTACATTTAAAACAAAACTAAAACAATGCAAAATAGACACTCAGGGCAAAGAACCATTTATTCAGCTGGGAGGAACTGTCTTCAATTGTTGGTGGAAAGGGCAGGAAGTGGGTGCCTATTGTATCACAACAGGTATACTATTCCACAAGAAAGGGGCCACCATGCTAAAAGCCCTGCTCAGAGGTACTGTAGAGTGGGCTTCTGAGATCTTTGGAACTTGTAGAATAAATTTTCCTGCAGACTTCAGGGATAATAATAATAATAATAATAATAATAATAATAATAATAATTTATTTGTACCCCGCCCATCTGGCTGGGTTTCCCCAGCCACTCTGGGCGGCTTCCACAGAGACCAAAAATACACTAAAATGTCACACATTAAAAACTTCCCTGAACAGGGATACCTTAAGATGTCTTCTGAATGTCAGGTAGTTGTTTATCACTTTGACATCTGATGGGAGGGCGTTCCACAGGGCGGGCGCCACTACCGAGAAGGCCCTCTGCCTGGTTCCCTGTAGCTTTGCTTCTCGCAATGAGGGAACTGCCAGAAGGCCCTCGGCGCTGAACCTCAGCGTCTGGGCAGAACGATGGGGGTGGAGACACTCCTTCAGGTATACTGGGCCGAGGCCGTTTAGGGCTTTAAAGGTCAACACCAACACTTGGGAATAGAAGGTTTAAGGTGGTTGCTCAATTAACCTGCTCCTGAGCTGTATGAGGACTTGTATATTCATACCAACATCTTGAACTTGGCCCAATACTGCTATTGGCAACCAGTGCAAATCCCACAAGCAAGATGTTATATGCTGGTGATAGTTTGCCCCTACAAGCAATCCAGCTGCCACATTCAGGCACCAGCTGCAGCCTCCAGACCAACCCCAAAGGCAGCCCCACATAGAGCATACTGTAGTAGTCAAACCGCGAGGTTACCAATAACAACCCCCATTATCCTCAACTGCTGGTCCTGTTGTCATATTGCTGATGGGAGTTGGAAGTCCAGCAACATCTGGAGAGCCACATCTCCATCCCCAATAAAGAGAAAAATTAAGTGTGCCTTAGGGTGGAAAGTGAAAAAAAGGCATTCTGACATTCTCTCAGTCACGCGAGAGCTGCTTATTTGCTGATAGGTGGAAAAAGCCATACAAGTCGGTCTCTGCCTACACGGTTGGGTCATTAAAATATTCCTGAGCTCGTTTCAGACAACACAGTTCAAATGAGTGCTTTATATGAGTATGCATTTGCCAACAGAGGCGTGCGCACTCCTCCAACTACTGCTTGTTCGGAGGTTACGCAGGTTTCCGCAATGCTCAAGCCCTTCCCCCCTGCAAAACCCACTTTAACCCAAAATATAGGTGGGGCCCAAATAAACAAATGGGCACATCTTAGGTCAAGTGTTGGGAGCCTCCAGATGTTGCTAACTATGACTCCCATCATTCCTAGCCTTTGGCGATGCTTGCTAGGGCTGATGGGAGTTGAAGTTCAGCAACACCTGGAAAGCCAAAAATTCCCCACACCTAACCAAACCAAATATTGCCTATTTCCAGCTCTGGAACATTTGGGGACCAAGTACCGTATTTGTTTGTTCATTAGTCTTTATGGCTGTTATCACAAGCATTAGAAAACCCCACAAAACCCATAAACAGAGAGAACAGTGAGAGGAGACCACAGACTACTTGGCAATGAAGAACCATACTACCTTAAATTCTCTGAGAGTGATGGTGGTTTGGAATGCCCTCTGCCAATCAACCCTCTCCAGACTTGGTCTCACTGAACACCACTGCAGTGTTGAGTCTGGAGTGTTGGTTTTTTAAATCCCTTTGCTAGGACTTGGCTTTATTTAGCTGATTGATACACTATCCTCAACAATTGCTATCTTGCACATAACTTACTAATGGAGCCCATGCACTTGAAGTGGGAAAGTGCATTAGTGGCAGGTCGCGCTCTTTAAGTGCCATGTGCTTTGGTGCGAACTTATCTCAAGAACTCAACGTCATGGGCTGTCAAGCTCAGTCATGCCATCTATGGCAAACAGTTACTGCTAGTCTTCATCTTGGGTAGGCAGGCATCTGAACAAATGATACAAACTAATTGCCGTATTCTGTGTATAAGACGCCCCCTATTTTGGGGGACGTCACATTAGAAAATGGGGGGGGGAGGGCCCACAGTTGTCAAGCTTTTTGGGGGATTGCCCAGAGTTGTTGAGTTTTCTGGGGGGTGGGATTGCCAAGAGTTGAGCTTTTTTTGGGGTGGGGTGCCGAAAATCACTAACCCAACTGAGAACCGCTGACAATCACTCACGTTGCCAATGACAACATGTGTCTGCAACCAATCAAAAACAGCAGATGGCAATCACACGCCCAATTGCTGAAGCAGCAGCCAATCGAGAGCAACCCTTGCTGCAGCAACCAATCCCCCACCCAATTTCCGAAGCAGCAACCAATCCAAAGCAGCACTTGACGCAGCCACCAGTCACCCACAAAATCGCAGCTGACAAGCTCCTACTCGTGTCTGCAACCAATCACCCGTGACCCCCCCATGCACTACCCATGTATAAGACAACCCCCGTTTTTTAACATTAGGGACCCCTGACCATTAGGTCCAGTCGTGACCGACTCTGGGGTTGCGACGCTCATCTCGCTTTATTGGCCGAGGGAGCCGGCATACAGCTTCCGGGTCATGTGGCCAGCATGACTAAGCCGCTTCTGGCGAACCAGAGCAGCGCACGGAAACACCGTTTACCTTCCCGCCGGAGTGGTACCTATATCTACTTGCACTTTGAGGTGCTTTTGAGCTGCTAGGTTGGCAAGAGCAGGGACTGAGCAACGGGAGCTCACCCCATCGCGGGGATTCGAACCGCCGACCTTCTGATAGGCAAGTCCTAGGCTCTGTGGTTTAACCCACAGCACCACCCATGTCCCATTTTTTAACATTATTTTTGAGTAAAAATCCCTCGTCTTATACACGGAAAAGTACGGTACACTGTATTATATTATTAATGGAAGGCTAATCTCAACAGCATCTTACAGAGGCCATACATACCGAGGAAGTGGCTGGAAGTGGTCGTAAGGCATGATTTCCTTGAATCCGTCACTGTGAACAAGACAAGCATTTGCAAAGTTATTTGCGGAACATCAGGATAGGCTTTTCTTTATGTCATGAATATATTCATTTGAACGCCCATGAGAATTTCTGGAAACAACTAGTTTGGGAGGTGGGTATCCCTCGCGCTGCCTATTGAACCCATTCAGATCTTAGCAACTGAACTGGTGTGATGGCCTGGGAATCCGATTCAGAGAGTGAACCGGAGGAATCCCAGCCTGCACAGGAGTCCCGGCCTCCAGGGCCGGCTGAACTGGGTCAGGGCCTTGATTCTGAGGAGCCTGCACCTGTGCCGGATCCTCAGGAGCAGGCACCAGGTGAAACCATTCTGGCCCCAGAGGTGCTTGAGGACTCAGTGTCTACAGGTGAGCCTCCCCCGGGGCCCAGTAACCCTTTGGCCTCTCCTGAACTGCAGAGGCTTAGGGCAGAGAGGGGAAGGGAACTGGTTTCTCCCAGGAGGAGTGCTCGCCTTAAGGCCAGGAGAGGCGGGGCTCCTGGGGGCCGGGACCGCCCCTGGCCTCAGAGAAGATAAAGGCCAGTCAGCCCGGTCCCAGGTTGCGGGAGCAACGTTGTCGCTGAGTACCTGCTCCTGTCCGGACCCAGACCTGAGCCTCCAGTATTCCTATCCCCGCTCGGCTTCCTGTTTCGGACCTCGCCCCGCTCCTTGTGAACTGTTTCCAGGCTATTGACCCAGGACCGGACTTCGACTACGTCAGCGGTAACCTTCCCCCCCGGGACCAGCACAACCAGTTTGTTCTCAAGCTTCTATGCAACTCCTGTGAAAGGTCCTAAAAACAAAGCCCTGCTGCAAAGTTTCTAGCAGTCCAAGGCAAGACCAGCCCTACCGTTAGGCAGAGTGAAGTAGCAACCTCAGGCAGTGAAAGCTGGGAGCAGCAACAAGATAATGAAGGATAGAGCTGTGTGTGCCATATGAATGGCAAACCCACAAACAAGATAATCTGCCACCCTCAACATCCTACTGTAACTAAGCCTAAGTATGTACTATCTGAAATAATCACATAATTCTTCTCTTACTCTGTTGTCTCCCTTGCTACTGTTTTCAGACTGTGTGCCCTTTGGGGCAGGGAGCTGTTCTCCCAGGACTAAGCTACATTAGTATAAAAAACCAGGGTTTTAAGTGCATGGAACACCAGATGGTGCTGTGTAGACCAGGGTTTTAAGTGCATGGAACACCAGATGGTGCTGTGTAGAGCACAAAACTTTCCTATCAGATTTTACATAGGATTTTTTCCTTTTGTTATAACGATTTAATTTATGACTTCTTTATAGCGTTCCCCCCCCCCCCCTGTGTGTAGATCCACCCCCAGTCTCTGTAATCTAACCTGTATTAATCCTAGGCTATCTGGAACTGCAAACGACCAAGCCTCAAAGACTTCTTTGAGGACAGAAGACAACAGGGATGTGCAAAACCTCAAGACTGCACAGGCCTGGGATAAGATGTAGAAATGCAGCCTCCTGCCATTTTCAGGTCAAAATGGTGGCAATCTACTCTACGTCAGAAAAGAAAAAAATGTAGTACCCAAAGAGGACAAAAGTGAACACATACCTGCATACAAATGGCATGAACTTATTATATGCAAATATGGAAATGAGTAGCACAACTTAAACAGAAATGCAATTCATCTCAACCCTCAGGGCAGAAGACTGCGACCGAGTGCTCTGCTCAGTCTGCTGTCCACGGCTGTTAACTGTTAATAGACAACTATTTCAGTGCTCGTCTTGCTCTCCCTTCTGAGGGTTTCGTGATCCTTAAATCAAGATTGGACCAGGACAGCTCTTCAAACAGAGGACACCTTCCAAGTGAGTGCTGCCCCCTGCCAGCTCTTCAAATAGAAGACTGTCCTCTATTAATGAAATATACTCGGGGTCGAGAGTGGATTTCATGCTCTTTATTCAGCTCATAGTGGGAGGAGGAAAATGAATGTTCCCCCAAAGTACAGTGGTACCTCGGGTTAAGTACTTAATTCATTCCGGAGGTCCGTTCTTAACCTGAAGCACCACTTTAGCTCATGGGGCCTCCCACTGCTGCCGCGCCTCCGGAGCCTGAAGCAAAGTTCTTAACCTGAAGCACTATTTCTGTGTTAGCAGAGTGTGTAACCTGAAGCGTATGTAACCCGAGGTACCACTGTATCTGCTTTATATGCATTATTTACACAATGAGCTGCACGTGATTGGCTAATTCCGGAATTCTCCTGTAGGCCAATCAGGTTGTAGATTCACTTCCATCTGGAGCTGGATTGGGTGGCTCCTGCAGACCAATCATACTGCTGCGTTGTTCTAGGACCAATCAGACTGCTGCATTCTGGACCCTATTGTTCTAGGACCAATCAGACTGCTGCATTTTGGATCCCCTTCAACTCAGTACATAACAAGTAGGTCACATGTCTACCCTACTGGTCAAGAAAGAAGTAGCCTCTGCCAGCCACTCCACAAGCTCCAGCTCAAGACCTCATCTCCACCTCCAGCAACTGACCTCTGGGGCCTCAACGGGAGAGCATAGACTACAGCTATGGATTTGGGCCAACCTGCCCACAACCCTGGCTGGGCCCTGACACCCGCAAGGAGGAGGAACGAGAAACAAAGCAGAACGTTCACCCCATAGCATCTTAGCGCCTTTGCTTTTATAGCGCTGATATTAATGGAAAGTACTCGTATTACATGTTCCCCCCTACTTATAAAGCTCCCATCCTACTTCCAGAAGGTTCTGTAACCTTTTATGATCTGTATTCCAGTTTTGCCAGAGTGGGTCTGCAGAAACAGGCCTGGTGAGCTTTGAGCATCTATGCTTCCGAGGGGGTCGCTATCGATGATTACGTTCGGCTGGGATTAGAGGAAACAGGACAGTTTAGTTATAGGAAATGAAATCCACCGAGAGCGTTTCCTTTTTCTCCTTTGGATATATCTCCAGGTCTGCCAGCTGGCATTTTAATGTGAGGTTCTGGGCTAGATACTGCAGTGTTATTTTAAGATACTTTAGCAGAGCCAGGAAACAGCACCAGACGGTCCAACAGCCAGCGTGCCTTAAATGTCATTGTGCAACTCAATATGGTCTATGTACGCTGCAGCAGCAGCAGCCTTTAGGAACTTGGCAACGGCACCGTGTGGTCATTGCACCACAAGCATCCTTCCTTTCCTTTCCTTTCGCATTGCATTCATTTTGTTTCATTGGAGCCTGTAACCCTTAAGGGGAAAAAATGAAAGCGTTGACTGATGAGTGTCTAAAAGGAAAGGAATGCATGTGAGATGCTGGCTTCAGGTAGAGCAATGATTCCCAAACTGGGGCACACTGGTGTGACTTCAGAGGGGTTGATGTGTTCCTTAAAAAAAAAAAAAAAAAAGGAATCCCAAGCAACGATATTGGGTGCAATCATCACTCTATGCCTCTTGGAGCTGGACATTCATATTATCCTGAGCAGATGGTGGGAGTTAAGGATGCACTAACATTTCCAGATGCAGTTTGTGCATGTATGTGACATGCTCAGAGAAATTCCAGAAGCATCACCATTGTCAAGAGCTACTACATCTGTGTGCAGCTGCGCCGTGTGGTAAACTGCTGAACTACAATAGTAAAGTACCTTCAGGCCCTAGACCAGGCACAGGCAAACTCGGCCCTCCAGATGTTTTGGGACTACAATTCCCATCATCCCTGACCCCTGGTCCTGCTAGCTAGGGACCATGGGAGTTGTAGTCCCAAAACATCTGGAGGGCTGAGTTTGCCTATGCCTGCAGACTGACTCTGCCCACCCAGGCTGGTCAGTGGGTCATTTTGGGAAAGGAGGGCGGCTGCTTCTTTTTTCAGTTGAGCCTTGCGTGAGCACCAAGGTCTTCCTGAGCTCCGAGTGCCCCTGTAGTCCTGGTTATCATTTGGTCCTGAAATCTGGCTTGTTCTTTGACCCCAACTCTTGGATCCACATGCAGCTTCTGACTCCCAACTCATGGCTCACCTCAGGCAGCTGCCCACAGCCCAGCCCTACAGATCTTCATTGTTTAGTCTGGGGACAGTCAATATTGTGACCTCCAGAAATGTGGATACAGGGAACCAAGCAGAGGGCCTTCTCGGTAGTGGCACCCGCCGTGTGGAAAGCCCTCGCATCAGATGTCAAGGAAATAAACTATCTGAGTTTTAGAAGACATCTGAAGGCATCCCTGTTCAGGAAAGCTTTTAATGGTTGGGGTTTTATTGTGTTTTTAATATTTTGTGGCGGGGAAAACCCTGTCAGACGGGTGGCATATGAATAATAATGATGATTATTATAGGCTACAACTCTCTCATCCTTGACCCTAGGGCATGTTGTCTGGGGCTGATGGGAGTTGTTGTCCCAAATGTCTGGAAGATACCAGGTTGGTTACTCTTGGCTTAGCCAAAGGCTATCAGTCATATAATAGTTACAGGTAGGTAGCCGTGTTGGTTTGCCGTAGTCGAAACAAAATAAAAAAATTCCTTCCAGTAGCACCTTAGAGACCAACTAAGTTTGTTATTGGTATGAGCTTTCATGTGCATGCACACTTCTTCAGATATAATATAATTATATAGTCATATAATAGTACATCGTACAAATTATGATGTAAGCAAACACAATCCAGTATAATATCCAACGCCTTTTGCAACAATAATACTATATAAAAAACCTACAGCATTCAATACAGAAAAGACAAGCTCCCACCCATTTATAATTTAACTCAACTCTTTAACAACAAATTTGACAGCCCCCTACAATCTGACATTTTCCATTCACCGTTTATTCTAAGTTGTGTTGCCAGTCAACCATATGGGATTTGACTCATTCATTTTTAATAGACAAAAACCACAACTAGAAAACTAGCTAAGTCAAGTATGTAAGTTTTGTTATATATAGTGGCTTGGGGAGGAGGGCGATGTTCTTTGAGGATTAATCTCTGCCAACAAGTCATGAACATCTAAATCCAAAATATGCTGCCTAACCACTTCCAAAGCTTTCTATTCTGCCTGCATTAACAAAAACAAAAATAATAAAAAAATTCACATGAGGATCCTATCACAGCGGTTCACTTAGTGACTGATTTAACTCAGTCACTGTCTGGGATATAAATCAGTGCTAACTTTGAAAGCTTCTGGCTATTTCCATAGAATAATTTTATCCTTTAATAATGTTACCATCCTGGTATTCAGTGAAGATGACAACTTTGACAGACTAGCTTTGGCTCATAACAAGAAAGGTGGTGTTCTGTTTGGTACAAGGAATACCCTCCTCACGCACTGATTCTGAATGGAATCAGTAGACCTTTGAGATCCGTATTACCTGAAAGCTGAAAAATGTTTCACAGCTGAAAAATGTGAAAGCGAAGGCAGAATGAACTGACCACTTTCTTAACTGTTTGGCTAACATTTTCTCCAGCTGGCTCTGCATTCTCTTGGAAGCATCCAGAGCTAGTGAAAGTGTTGCTGCAATTCTTTGCACCCTTTGCTTAATTCAATGAAAACTTCCAAATAATGAGTTGCTCTGGCTTCTTGCATGTTAGCCAATGCTCCCTTCATTTCACATGTAGAATTCCAGAAATATCTCTCATCAAACCATGAGTCATTCTGTTTTCTTCTTCCCCAAAATCCTGATATAATCACCAACTTTAATCCCAATAATTAAAACAAAATTCAAAGTATGTCGCCATGTCTCCAGCTTTCATAGGCAGCAAAGGTTACTAATTTGCCTCCAAATCAAGCAAATTTTCCTAAGTCTAAGGAAGGCTACTTCCAGACTATTCAGTATATGGGAGTTAGCTTTATCTATCCAACTCCAAATCAGAAACACTTTTAGCCTTGTTAATCTCGGAGTCTAATTTCCATCTTTTTAAAAATTAAGAATATTACAAGTTAAAAGAAAAAGAAAGAAAAAGAATACATAAACCATTTTAAAAAGGCAGAAGAAGACAACAATAAATAGGGTTGCCATGTGTCCTCTTTCTCCGGGGTAAAAATTGGGACAAATTGCATTCATTTGCTTGGAATGGCCATCATGGCATCCTCTTTTTTGCTCTTCGAAATATGGCAACCCTAAACGATTATTACAAAAATTATAATTAAGATTACAGAGCTATATAACGTATATGTAAATGGAAGAACTTATTGTTTCCCTTAAATATACATTGATTCATGGGTCACTATGGTTTGGACAAATACGTTCCAAATATAAATAAATTTGTGCATATATAATCTTCGTCTGAAAGTGATCTGCTTAAATTATCCCTTCTTTCCCTACCAATAATGACAAGAACTTTTGGCTCAGCCCGGCTTGTTCAAGAACAGCAGCGGCGAATATGGTGCCATTCAAATGCTGCTGAACTACAACTCCCATCAGCCCCAGCAAGCACAGCCCGTGGTCAGGGAGGATGGGACTTGTAGCCCACAGCATCTGGAAGGCTACCCCTGCCCAAGAATAGTAAGTTCAATTTCCAGGTTATACAGACAGAACCCACTCAATCAAATGAACCGATTCACGGTGGGGTGTGCGTGCAAAAATAATACTGGTGGTCACTATTCCTTTCTTTACTGAAAAGCAAAACCTTCCCTCCACCACTGACTCAGACACCCGGCTCCCCAGTGCTCCGACTGGGATCCACCCATCCATTTATAAATTGGCAAGGCAAACCTTGAAGGGCAGGGATCCATATTGCATTCCTTCAGCTTAGGCTTTGGTTTCTTATTTTCAGGATAGTAGTGGCAGTACTGATCTGGCACCACGCGCTTTGAACGGATATCCACACACTCTGCAGAGTTCAGCTGGTAACCTGCATTGGGGAGAGGAATATGCATTGCATTTAAGTGGAAACCAACATATAGTCGTACCTTGCCTCTCGAACAGAATGCGTTCCGGGAGTCTGTTCGACTCCCGGAACTGTTCGTAAACCAAGGCGCGGTTTCTGATTGGCTGCAGGAGCATCCTGCAGCCAATCGGAAACTGTGCTGGACATTCGGCTTCCGAAAATCGTTCAAAAACCCAAACACTCACTTCTGGTTTTCAATTGTTCGGGAGCCGAAACGTACCAGTTCCAAGGCGTTTGGCAAACCAGGTACAATTGTATATGGATAGATTTGTGTGTTCTGTGTCCCTTCCTCCTCCACTCTCACATGTGTCCCCAACTCCACAGAGGCAGAGGGCCTTCTCGGTAGTGGCACCCACCCTGTGGAACGTCCTCCCATCAGATGTCAAAGAGAGAAATAACTACCAAACTTTTAGAAGACATCTGAAAGCAGCCCTGTTTAGGGAAGCTTTTAATGCTTAATAGGTTATTGTATTTTAGTGTTTTGTTGGAAGCCGCCCAGAGTGGATGGGGAAACCCAGTCAGATGGGCGGGGCATAAATAATAAATTATTATATTATTATTATTATTATTATTATTATTATTATTACTTCTCACCTTCACTCGTAATGCCCCCTGTGAACATACACACTATTTGCGAAGTACATTCGCATCCCTCTTCCATGCACATGCTAACATTCTCGCATACTCTCCATCGGTCAGCTAACACTTTGGTAACGCCATCTTTTCTTGCTCCACCTCTCCCCTCCAATAGCACACATCCCCGTGTGCCTGTAAGGCCTTGTGCGATGACAACTTTCAAGCCTTCCGAGGGCTGGGAATGTTCATAAACATTTCATAACTCCTCGGCAGCTGAGCCCAATGGCTCAAGAGGACTCATTTCAATCGGCTGAGGCCAGCGCTCTCTTGGCCAACAGCGATGCGAGTTTCAAAAAAAAACACCTGGCTGCCTGTTATCGACCCCACTTGCAGCAACTACAGCACGCAGGCCAAACACTCGTCGCTGGAAAGGTCGCAAACCTTTGGACAGATGAGCAGATTTGCAAAGTCTGTGGCACACTTGTGATGGACAAGCCTTTACATTCCCTGCAGATCCATTAAAGAGCAGCAGCAGCTGCAGCAGCAGTAACTCAGAAGGACCGGAGAGAGGACATTTTGCACAATTATCCCGTTACCTTGCCTGCAACAGTGTCTTGATCAGTCACCACTGCTTTTTTTAAAAAAGGTATTGGCTAGCATCCTAAATTTCCTTCTATAACTGTAATGAAGTTTGTGGAATGGAAATGCCCTGCTTTCCATTTCCCTCTATAGCCCTCTGTGCACCACAACTCTAATCCTAGCCATACATGTAAAGCTGTTGTGTATTTTAATTTGCAATTTCAGCTTACATTTTAAACCAGACATCCCCAAACTTGGCCCTCCAGATGTTTTGGGACTACAACTCCCATCATCCCTAGCTAAAAGGACCAGTGGTCAGGAATGATGGGAACTGTAGTCCCAAAACATCTGGAGGGTCGAGTTTGTGGGTGCCTGCTTTAAACTATTGTTTTAATTCAACTTGCTTTCCAAATGAATTTGTCTTTAACCCTGATTTTTATTGACAATGCTGATGTATATTTTTATATTCTTCGTAAACCGCTTCGAGGTTTTATGTACAGTTAAGCGACACACAATTTCCCATTAAATAAATCAAACTTTACAGTGGTACCTTGGTTCCCGAATGGCTCAGTTGTAGAACAAACTGACTCCTGAGCACCGCAAATCCGAAAGTAAGTGTTCCGGTTTGTGGACGTTTTTTTGGAAGCCGAACATCCAACGCGGCTTCAGCCGCTTGATTGAGTGAAGGAAGCTCCTGCAGCAAATCGGAAGCCACGCCTTGGTTTTCGAACGGTTTCGGGAGTCGAATGGACTCCCGGAATGCATTAAGTTCAAGAACCAAGGTACCACTGTGCTGTAATGTGGTGAATGCAGAGTTCTGCCTTAGACAAACCACTGCTACCTCTGCTTCACCCTACCCCCATCTATGATACAGAAATACAAATAGCTGCCTCTCTGAAGCACACTGTGTAAAATTAAATGCTTACTATGCCTTCCCCAAAACACCAGCTACATTTCCAGTGTGCCTTTGAAACATGCGACTTGATTTTTAAAAAATAGTACCTACCAGTGCTATTTTTCTAGAAAATAGGTGCCGGAACTCACCATGAACGCGTCCCTTGTTCTTATACACAGTGGTACCTCGCAAGACGAATGCCTCGCAAGACGAAAGGGTTTTTGGTTTTTTGAGTTGCTTCGCAAGACGAATTTCCCTATGGGCTTGCTTCGCAAGACGAAAATGTCTTGCAAGTTTGTTTCCTTTTTCTTAAAACCGTTAATACAGTTGCGACTTGACTTCGAGGATCAACTCATAGCACGAGGTGTGGTAGCCTTTTTTGAGGTTTTTGAAGACTTTGGTGATTTTTGAAGCTTTTCCAAAACTTTTCCGAAACTGTGCTTCGCAAGACGAAAAATTCGCAAGACGAAAAAACTCGCGGAATGAATTAATTTCGTCTTGCGAGGCACCACTGTAATGGCATTGGCGCCCACCTGAGAGGGGGCTGGAACTGAGTTCCGGCTGACAAAGAGCCCTGGTAGCTACACCAAAAACATCACCATATACTAAACTGGCTGCAAACGTTGGCCTTCTGCACTGCAAACAGGGAAGAGCTCAGTGTTACAACCCAGCATGAATTTATAGCATTTAAAAAAGAAAGAAAGAATACAGCTAGAAAGCTGTAAATCCACCACTTAAAATCCACAGCTGTACACACTCCCAAGCCACATCCGTTACTCACCTCCTCCACATGTCACAGTGCAGGGGAAGAACTCTGTCTGTCTCCACTGATGACTGATGGGTTGGTAGAAGAAGAATTGAACCACGCTGTCTTTGGGGGCAGCATACCTGGCCTAGAGAGAGTCCCATTACAACACATTTGTATACCGAGGGCCAGGGCTCTATGGCCTGTCACAGAATAATTCATGCGCAAAGCGTAGTGCGGAAAACGCCGTGGCAAAAAAGGCAAGGGGGGAATTTAGAAACATTGCAAGCAGGAAATCTGGAGTACTATAATTTAAAGCAGAAAGGGTTTTGTTTATCAGGCACTGTTATCTTCTGCCCCGTTTATGTCAGCATCACGGCCCCAGTTCACAGGTTATCAGTGGCGCCATTTCTCTTTGCTATGTCTGCCTCCATTCTGTGGCACAGATGGCCTGCAGATGAAGCAAATGCTCCTTTGCTGGCACCCAACTGCACAGGCACCCATGGTTTTGCACCCTTGGAGAAGGGGTTCATATGAACTGGATATCCCCATGATTAGGAGGTATAGTGGATCACCCATTTCGTATGTTGGAGCACCTAAATGTTGAAGAAGTGGGCGACATGTGAAGAGAAGCATTGCTTACCATTAAAGGCTTAGAACACATTGGATCCAGTGGAGTGGAGTGATTATTTCTATTATTATTATTATTATTATTATTATTATTATTATTATTATTTTCAATTTATATCCCATCCTTCCTCCCAATGCAATGCGGCAAGCAAGTCATTAAAACAACACAATCAAAAACATTTTCAAACCTTAAAACCAACCACATCCTCTCAGCCAATGGTTCAAGTATTAGAGTGTTGGACTAAGGTTGCAAACATCTTGCATCAAATGCCCACCTAGGACTGAATCTCACTGTGTGACCTTGGCACGGTTCTTCTCTCTTTACCAACCCTACCTTTTAAGATTGTTGTGAGGACAAAATGGGGATAGCTGAACCTTGTATGCTCCTCTCAGGGGCGGAGGAAGGGGGGGCGGTGAGGACAGTTCGCCCCGGGTGTCACCACTGAGGGGGGTGACAAAATGCCGGGCGGCACTCATTGTGCGGCCTGCAGCGCACCTGAGCCATGTGTCTCTCCTGGGAGTGACGTGGTGGCTTGGGCACCCACAGGCTCCGCGCTGCCCCAAATGGTCTGCCCACTGCCTTCCCCTCAGCTGTAGGGTGGCTGAGTGGGAGGAAGCAGGCAGACTCCTCGGAGGCCCCATGGAGCGCCCTGCCCCGGCTCGCCCCGCCCCACCTGTGGCGGGCCCCACCCCTGGGCGTAGGACACACACGCCACCCCAGGTGCCCAATCGGCTTGCTTCGCCACTGGCTCCTCTGAGTTGCTTTAAAGCAGGGCTGGAGTACAATTAAAGCAACCTATCAGTCAAGAGGAGAAGGGATGCGGGTGGCGCTGTGGGTTCAACCACAGAGCCTGGGGCTTGCTGATCAGAAGGTCGGTGGTTCGAATCCCCGCGACGGGGTGAGTCCCCGTTGCTCAGTCCCTGCTCCTGCCAACCTAGCAGTTCGAAAGCACGTCAAAGTGCAAGTAGATAAATAGGTACTGCTCCGGCGGGAAGGTAAACGGCATTTCCGTGCGCTGCTCTGGTTCACCAGAAGCAGCTTAGTCATGCTGGCCACATGACCCGGAAGCTGTACGCCAGCTCCCTCGGCCAATAAAGCGAGATGAGCACCGCAACCCCAGAGTCGGCCGCGACTGGACCTAATGGCCAGGGATCCCTTTACCTTTTATCAGTCAGCTCCCATACCAACACCTTATTTGCCCTACTTTGATATTGCTGCATTTTCTGAAACTTAGGAGGTAGTTACAAAGGGCAAAACCTTTTCAGTGGTTGTCCTTCTTCTTGCCCAAGGAAGCTTGCCATGCTACCTGCTTACTGGATTTAAAGCAGGTGTAAAAAAAGACTCTTTAAAGAGTTGTATTCAAGCACGCTTTTTTTTCTTTTGTCCCAGAGCTTTCCCTGCAAAAGCCTGCTCTTTACTGTTGAATTGGAACAAACGGCAACGTGGATTTCTGTGGATTGCCGAAAAGGATTGTCAGTAAAGAGCAGGTTTTTCACAGGGCAAGTTCTGAGACACAAAAAAAAGCATTTGGACACAGCACTTTAAAGTGAGAAACTGTGCCTGGAAATGTGGAAAAATGAAGTCGGCTTGAGCCCTTAGTTTATGTAAGCCACTGTGGGAGTCAACAGGTGGAATTTGATCTCACTCAAAGTCCATGGGTCTTATTTCTAAAGCAACTTTAACAAATGGGATTGAAGCTGTGGTCTCTAACCTGCACTCACTTTTAATCAAGTGCTGCTTGAATTAACTAGGTATAAATCCTGAAAAACTTGCTTTAGAATTGAGCTGGGCTCATACATAATATCCCCATCTTGCCAGACCAAGCTCCTCTTGCAATTTAAATAGGCTACCATATTCTTCCCCTTAAATGTCTGAACTTGGATAGTAAAATGGGCTAAACAATAGCTTCCACTTTTCCATTTGAGAAGTGAAGGGACTGCTGTATGTACATTTGCAATGTGGCTTAGCATCTTTGGGATAACAGGTGGTCTATAAATATGAGAATATTCAATGGCTGGCAAACAGCAGGCATTTCTAAAAAGGTAAAGGTACCCCTGCCCGTACGGGCCAGTCGTGTCCGACTCTAGGGTTGTGCGCCCATCTCACTTAAGAGGACGGGGGCCAGCGCTGTCCGGAGACACTTCCGGGTCACGTGGCCAGCATGACGAAGCTGCTCTGGCGAGCCAGCACCAGCGCAACACACGGAAACGCTGTTTACCTTCCCGCTAGTAAGCGGTACCTATTTATCTACTTGCACTTTGACGTGCTTTCGAACTGCTAGGTGGGCAGGAGCTGGGACCGAAAGACGGGAGCTCACCCCGCCGCGGGGATTCGAACCGCCGACCATGCGATTGGCAAGCCCTAGGCGCTGAGGATTTACCCACAGCGCCACCCGCATCAGCTTCTAAATCCACTTCCTGGGATTAGAACATCAGGATCAAAGGGCACCAACCCACCTGGCCACAAAATACATGTAAGAACTGGAGTAACTCAACAATCTTTCAGAGAATCGGGCCACATTTACATTCAGGCTCTACGGCACCACTTTAAACAGCCATGGCTACCCCCAAAGCATTCTGGGAAGTATGCTTTGTTATGAGTCCTGAGAGTTGTTAGGAGACCATCTATTCCCCTCCCAGAGCTGCAATCCTTCTTCCCAAAGAACTCTGGGAATTGTAGTTCTGTGGATGGAACAGGAACCTTCGAACTCTCAGCACCCTTAACAAATTACAGTTCCCAGGATTCTTTGAGGGGGTGCCTTGACTATTAAATTGGCATAACAGTCTGGCTTTAGGCTGCCTGCTTATGTGACAGCAGCCCACCTGCCTAACTTGGGCCTGAGCATCTGACACCTAATAAATCCTAATTCAGTTGTTCAGCTTCTTCTTCTCTCCCTCCCTCTCTCCCTTTGGCTGTTGCTGTCCTTTTTAAACAAAGCTGCTTCAACTGTGTTGGCAGCCAGATCTTCAGACTGCACAGCCGAGGGAGGCAGCATCTTACCTTGATAATGAAATCAGCTCCGAGGGGCCCTGGGATTTTTATCGTTTCTCTTTCTGCGCCCTTCTGAAATTCCACGGTTGTGTTTTCAATAACGAACGTTCCCGGGGCACCAAAGCTGTGCTCTCCGCTGTCTCCCTGCAGCGTCTTTGATTCAATCACTGAAACAGGAAAAGGACATGCCACAATTCAGTGGGTTGTGGAGAACACTTGAAAGGCAAAACTAAACCCCAAAACACTGACGTTCTAACAAAAAGTAGATTGGGAGAAGTAGTGACATGGGATACAGTTGTAAAAAAGGCAGGTAGCCGGGTGCAATATATTTAAGCGATAACTACAGCTGTCGGGTGACAGGGGATTAACCAGGATTGCTGTTTAATCTAATTCTCTGGAAAGGGAACAAATTGTCACACTACATATATCCTGAAGGAGCTAAAATGTATTTTCATACATTAGAAATAAAACAGGTTTAGCACTGGTTCACGGCCAGCAGATAAGGAGAAAATTGATTGCCTTGAACGGCCTTACAACTAAAAAAGACATTAAGTCGAGTCAAGCCTGTCATCCACACTCACAGAATAATGAGCTTTGCTTCACTTGCAGACCTCTCTCCCTTTTCCTGGTCAAATATATTATTGCCACTGAGTTTGAACAACAAACTGCTTAGACAGGGGGAAGGCTTTAGATGTCAGAGCTAAGTGGTTTTGAGGTATTATTTCAGATCACTGTAACTCACACAGTGGACAAAATATGACCGAAGTTTGTTTGCTTTTGCTTTCATTTTTTAAGTTCTTAGAATTGATGTATGTGCACAGCTATCACAGTGTTAATATTTTGCACATACACTGTACAAATTCCTTACATTTGCCCATGAAAGATGATGTACAATTCAAAGCGTTGGTTTTTTTTGGTTTTTTTGGTAGGATCACCTGATTCCACTTCAGCATGTTTTAAAGACTCGTGGAACTGTTATCCCAACTGGCACCCATAACATGCTCCTTTTGGGCCTGTAAAATGTTTTCTGAAGAAGCTTGCTACTGCTGCTACAATATAGTGGGTTGCATCTGATGTTAGTTAGGCCACACTTTCTACATCCCTCTCTATTCAAGTATTGCCCATTTACTCCTACTGTCTGCTTCCTGTCCTAGAGACACTCGAACTCAGGACGCAAGGGAGAAACGTGCTAAGAGGAAGGCACACTTGGCAAATCCACACCGTGATGAACTCCCGCCCGGAAACCAATGTCCCCACTGTGGAAGGACGTGTAGATCCAGAACTGGCCTCCACAGTCACTTACGGACTCATTGTTAAAACCATGTTTATGGAAGACAATCTTACTCAGTTATAAAGAAAGAAGAAGAAGCTTCCTGTTCCTTAACTGATCCACAGCAACTCATTGTGGCCAGCGAGTGTCCTTTATAATTTGTGAAATCATGCAGGTCCATTGATATGCCCCCTAAAATATTCACGAATGGCCTAAGGCATGAACAATCTTGAGGAGAAACATTCCCCAACTCTGTTAAAAGCAAGGATATAATGCAACAGCTGAGCGAGAAACAACAATATCTTTCTCTGGATAAAGGAATTTTGGTCCAAATTTATCCTTGGTCTAATTCCAATGAAAGCAATAGGGTTGGAAGAGGCATATAATTGGTCCACTGTGTCTAGACAGAAGTGTACCCAAACCCATTTGTTAAAAAAGAGAGGAAATAATCTGTCAGATTTCCTTAAAAACAACTTGACTCATTTAAGTAGGCTCTGGAGCACTTATAATCCTGAGGAGATAAAAACACTTGATGTTCTATAAATAACGCTAGCAATAGCCACATTTATATGTCATAGTAATCGTTACAACAACCCTGTAGGGTAGGCTGGTATGGTGGCATCCACATTGCAGGTGGGGGCTGAGGCCAAGTGATGGAAGTTCATATAAAACCACCTAGTACATTCTAGTACATGCTGAGGTGAGTTTAAAACAGAGAGCTCCCAACTCATGCTCTTAACCGCTACACTATGGCTCAGTTCAGATTATTACTTAAACCATAGCCTCTCTCCCCTTGAAGTGTGTGAACTGTGGACTGCTGTAACCAAAGTTAATTAATAAATCTGGGTCAGAAACCATTGGCCCAACGCCACATCCTTTTACCTTAAAAACCCACATTTAGGCCATTGCCAAGAAAGTTGTCTGGCTATTCCAGCCATTGGATTCTTGTTGGATCTAGGAATTAGAAGGGACTCAGGCATACAGCCTATCCCCCCCAAAAAAACAAGCATATATATGAATATATGAAGACTTTTAGAGCATCTCAACACTGAACAGGCCTTATGGTTCAATGGACAAGCAGGTATGTAGAGAATCACAACCCATTTGCTGGAACAACATCACTCAACGCCAGTGATGGATTAGACCCAATGCCTTAAGCAGTTCTCTACTAACAGTTATGCAAAGGCATAACTGGATTTCAGCAGGGAAGCTTAAACCCAACTGCTCATTTTTTCCAAGTAATTCCATCACACAGAGAGATGAAGATTTGCTCCACAGGCTACCTGTAAGCTCGGCTCCCGTATATTCTCACCTGCTTTAAGCCATTGCCTGTCAATAGCAGCTTCCCTATGGAATGAACACAAAACACTCTGCATGCGTAATATATTTTTTATAGCTATTTCTTCAAAGGGCAAGGTAATATTTTGCAAACTTAACTGGCAGCCATCTGGAAATATAACAGCAAGCGGCTTTCCAGGCATATTCAGCAAGTGATGGCCTGAAAAGTCTATTTAATTCTGAGCGCAGGTTTACCCCCCAAAAGAGAAGTCGGCATATGGATGAAGTTACAACCTAAGTGGAACAAGGCTTTGTTGCTGTGGGTGAGCATTTTTCTTAGTATCACCCCAACTAACTTTAACTGAAGGGCGAGTATTACCAGCTTCATGGGAGAATAAGGTCTTCAGCAGCCTTACGGCACTCATAATTTGGTCCCTATGGGATGGCCAAAGGAGCAATATTAAATACAAGTGCTTTTGGCCTGTGCAGCGGAAGCTTTGGGTCCACCAGCCATGTGTCTTTATAAGCCTAAACCGATTGTCAGCTGAGCAATTTCAGTGCAGGAACCCTTAACAACAGACGGTGTTTGTATAGTTGGTGTCAGGTCTGGGCTTGGTTTTTGGCAAACTGCGGCGGGGTCCGAGTCTATCAAACGTAGGTGGTGATGAGCTGAACAAGAAGCAGGAGACATTATCATGGTTGGGCTGGAGATCAGATACCAATTAGGTAGCACCAAGGTCACCACAGAAAAACTGGGGGTAGCAGATCAGGCAGGGAAGCTAAGGCAAGAGAAGGACTAGACCAGAGAGAAAGGGAGAGTCTGTTGTCACGCAGGGGCAGTTTGCTGGCCAGACTTAGGAATTGGGCCTTGGGTGGAGAGATTTTATTAGGCCAGGTGTATCTTCACTGGCTGGGAAAACCAGCTGACCATCTGCAGGCTGCCAGGCCAGTTGATGGAGTGCAGATCAGTACCTATCACAGCCACTTCCCAGCCAAGGAATGCACACAACACATAGTATACAGTGGTACCTCTGGTTGCGAACGGGATCCGTTCCGGAGCCCCGTTCGCAACATGAGCAGAATGCAACCTGCGTTGCGGATCACCGCTTCTGCGCATGCGCGTGACGTCATTTTGAGCATCCGCGCATGCGCGAGCAGTGGAACCCAGAAGTACTTTCCGGTACTTCTGGGTCACCGTGGGACGCAACCTGAAAACGCTCAACCTGAAGCAAACGCAACACGAGGTATGACTGTGTAAGAGGTATAGGTTGGTTGCTCGAGAGCAATCAGGCAATATGCTTCAATAGTCTGTTTTAAAGCTTTCTTATCGGTGATAAAAACCTTTGAATGCAGAGCGCCTCTATTCTGTGTCTTGCTCATTCACTGGCAGAATCTGAGAGTGGGCGGTCCTTAAACCTTCCCCAGCAGAGTAGTTTCTTGACGCCCAGTCTGTGCCTCCCCTCTCTGCATGGAAGTCTTCTGTGAAAGGAAGGCTTGGGTAACGGGGGACCTCCCTCCTCTCTGCTTTGCAAGGTGTCCTGGCACCGCCTCGCCTCCTCCGCCCCCTGCCTCTCCTCTCCACTAGGGGCATGGCTACTCTCATCCGCTGAGGAGGTGCTGCTTCGCACGATCTTTGGGGGCTCTCTGTAATCCATCTGGCTTTTCCCCTCTCGCCCCTGAGCCGATGGCAGTTCCCTGACAGACTGTAATTAGCTCTTTATTATCAAAAGCAAACACTTACAAAGGCTTCTACGACTCTGAATATCCACGCTCTATGGAGCAGTTGCAGCAACAGGGGGCTGTGCCCCTCCACCACCAGCGTGTAAGCAGGACAAGACTATCCCTGAGTGGAAGCTGCCTCTGCTCTTCAATCCTCTCCTGCTTCTGGGAGACACTGGCACAGGAGAGGGTGGGGAAGCGCCCAGCCCTTCACTGGCCAGACCTGCCTCTTCCTCTTCCTCCTCTTCCTCCTGTGCTCCACCATCCAGCTCTGAAGCTTCCCCTGTCTCTGGCTCTTGCCTCCTGGCTGGTACCGGTCCCCACAAATCACTGCCCCCTCTCCTGAGTCAAACTCCAGCTCCCCTTTCCCCAAAGCACACTCATCAATGTCCTGCCAGTCCCTGCCACTACACAGTCTTGAAAGTTCTTACTGAGTCCACTAAAAGGTAAAAAGGTAAAGGACCCCTGGACGGTTAAGTCCAGTCAAAGGCGACTATGGGGTTGGAGCGCTCATCTGGCTTCAGGCTGAGGGAGCCGGCATTTGTCCACAGACAGCTTTCCGGGTCATGTGGCCAGCATGACTAAATTGCTTCTGGCGCAACGTGACACAGTAACAGAAGCCAGAGCACATGAAAACGCCGTTTAGCTTCCTACCACAGTGGAACCTATTTATCTACTGGTGCGCTTTCAAACTGCTAGGTTGGCAGGAGCTGGGACACAGCAACAGGAGCTCACCCCGTTGCAGGGATTCAAACTGCCGGCCTTCCGATCAGCAAGCCCAAGAGGCTCAGCGGTTTAGACACAACCACAGCTGTGAGATCTGAGTAGTGATGCTATAAGTTGTAAGAGACTAGCTGCTCAACTAGCTGGTCTCTCTCTCCTCTCTCTCTGTGTGTGTGTGTGTGTGTGTGTGAGAGAGAGAGAGAGAGAGAGAGAGAGACTTTATACACAGTGACTATGAGAGAGAGAGAGAGAGAGAGAGAGAGAGAGAGAGACTTTATACACAGTGACTATGCTCCAATGGATTCACTCTGTTCTGCAAAGGGTTTGGAGATGTACTGACACTCAAATCAATAAAGTTCTTTGTCATTTGCCTATACAGCAAGAAGATTGCCTGCTCCTGGTTGGAAGCTAAAATATATTTAACCCACAAGTTGAAACACGATCCATCAACATTCCAAATTGTGATGTACAGAACCTAAGGTCAAGGGGGGAGGGGTTATCAAGATCCTATCTCACACACTTAGTAGCCATCTTTAAAAGCCAACTTTTGCAGTTTAAAAGAAAAGAGATTTAAGGAAATTAGAATTTTTGATTATAAAAATAGGGAGAGTCATATAAGCAGCCCCCCCCCAATTCATTGTGGTTGGGCTATATAGATTCATCTTGAAATCCTGGCTCTATGTAACTGCATCTCTGTAACTTTTATACTGAAAATGCAATATGTGTGAGTCTGCAAACGTCTGCATGGCTATATGTTAGTTTGTGCATGTGTTCATGACAAACCAATAAACGTTATTTATAAGAAGGAATAAATGTGAGTGTGAGCAGCTCAGCTATATAAAATCTAAGGGGGCTTCTCCGGCAAAGTGATTATTTCCATTTGGACACAAAAAGAATAGGTAGAGCATATGTGTCTCTGATTTAAGTATAAAATGGTGCAGACCTGTCATGTCGTGTTTGGACGTCAGTGGATTTGAGAGTAGCTTCTCCTGCCAGAAAACCTACCTGCTGGAATTCATGAACTTTTTCCACCACCACCACTGTGTGCATAATTCCCAGATAGGGAACACGAGTCTCGGTTAAACGCACACCTATTTTAATCCCCTCAAACTGTAAGCCACATGTTTTCCTGTTAATATCCATAAAGAATAAAAACAGAACTCACATGTATGGCTAAATGTTTAAAATGCAAGGTTCTGTCATTTAAAAAGTCGGGAATTTAGCATCTTTCGCTTCCCTTCCAGCTAGACTCGGTTGTAAGTTCATGAACTTGGTTATCTAGCATTAGCCACTTGTAAAAATATTAGCTTCTGGTTTTGTTGTTTCTACAGCAGGGGGATTATTTTCAGAGGACTCTGGCTTATTTTGGATTCTGAAGCTCTTAGCAAAACAGCTTCTGGAAAGCCTATAATATATTCCAACACCCTTCCCCCTTCACTTCAACTCCCTTCCTCCCAAAACAAACCATTTCAAATGCCAAATGAAGGGAAAGTGACAATAAGAAGAGTGGCCTTATCTGATTTATTTGGGGAAGCCAAGCATTTAAAGGACAACAAGATGAAAACAACAAAGCTCTCTGCAACCCAGACAGCTTCCTTCTCCGCATTTGTAAACAAAAGACCCTTCCTAACAGTTGAGCATCTCAAAACAACTAGAACATGTGAATATCCAACAAAGTGGAATGTTGGAAGATTTTGGACAGATAAACAAAGCCCTTGTTTACATGAAGCATAGTTGTCTGTTTATTATGCACTTGGACGCCTCTTAAAATATCGCAACCAAACTTTGCACGACGGTTCCTTAGATCAAAGAGCATGTTTTAGTTTACATTTGGATAAAACAATTTTTGATTTTTATTTTATTTTTAGAATTCCTGAGCAGTGCCAGGTATGACACTGCTACTCAATAATAAATTTACATTCATAAGACACATAGGAAATATATCACAAATCAGAAGGCCAGATTAACACATCAAAATAGATAGATAGATAGATAATACTTTATTCGGCTATAAGCCCACAAGGTAAAACCAATCAATCAATAAAATAGCATTTTACATTCTAAAATATCAGCTAAAAAATTTCAACACATAATCTCCTTCACGTTACATACAATCTGTAGATGTACCATATTGTGGCCTTGAATATAGAGATGGTGGATAGAGTTTACTAGATTTTTAATAGTCATGCAGCATTCCATGAAGTCTTTTATATGAAAGAACTGAATTCAGGAATCTGGCAACCTGTAAAGGGATTCTATTGATTTGTTGTCACATGCGCATAAAACAGAGGTTTTACCGACACATCAAAATATCTGGATCATTCTGGGAAAGCCTGGGTGAACTGACAAGTTTTAAGCAGACACGTAAATGCCAGCATTGTAGATGCTTATCAGATGTTCATTGGGAATGTGTTCCAGAGGGCAAATGCCACTGGAGTCCTACTGGATGTTTGATGAACCCTGGGAGCATACAACACTACTAAAGGTATTTCCCTCAAGAAGCCAAGAGTAAAGAATCCAAGAGTCTGGGCAGGGGAACACAAGATAAGGAATTCTCAGAGGTAACCTGGTTCCAAAGTCTTCAGGGAATTACACGCTAACAGCAACATCTTAAACTTGGCCTAGTAGCTTGCTGGAGGGGGAAGATCTGAAGTAGAGAGTCTCTTCAGCAGGTTTCAGCCTCCTCTTTCAATTCTGATCTCTTTCAATCTCTAATTTTTCCAACCTTAAATTCAGTTCTTCACATTTCTGTGTCAGTTGGCAAGTTGTTTTTAAACCCCCACCCCCACCCCTTGTGAAAATTTATCAGTAATTTAGTGTACTTTCTTCTTAATATACGCATTTGTGTATGCACTTTTAGCCTGATTCAAATTTTGGCAAGCCATTTTGCCTACTACGACGCTTTTTATATGTTAACTTTCACTAATATCTCTGCAGTTTTGTACAAATTCTTTCAGTGGTGAAACACACCACCACAAAATTCAGACAAGTGTGATTTTTTTAAGGACGGCTATGTTTTGACTCTCACGCTGTTTCAGAAAGTGCAAATTAAGTAGATTCACATTCACGTCCTACCAGATTTCTACCCCGTTCCTACATGCACCAGAGTTTTTGATTATGATAGCTCACAGTTCGTAACTGGGGAGGGAGCCTATACAGGTAGAACAGGCTCAAACCTTCCCCCACTCCCCCACAATGTATGGAGCAGGTATGGAACACCTTCAGCCCACCAGAAGTTGCTGAACTATGGGTCCCATCATCCATGGCCATTAGCTATGCTTGCTTAATGTGATGGGACTTCAGCAACATCTGGGAGGACAGAGGTTCCTCACCCCTACAGGGTTGTGGTCCTAAGTGATGTGGATGCATTGAAGGGGACACAGCCACCAAGCTCAGCCTCACTCCATCACGTGATGGTAAATGCATGAGGAGCTGGGCACACCCATAGGACTTCAGGATCAGGCCTAGGAAGGAGAAGTAAGGTATTTCACCTATAGCTCCAATAACCCCCCAAACACCCAAATGGAATACTTTTGTCCAAGCTCCTCTCTGTTAGTAACATGTAAAAGGGTTCATACCAAGGTGTGCTGGTCCTTTCACAGTAATTCTTGCACTGTGGCTCCCATGTGGCACAGCAATCACGGTTTCCTCCCCTAGGAAAATTAAAAGGAACAGTTTCAGAAATTAAATCTTGCAAGGGAAACATAACTTCTCATAACAAACCTGATATTCAAAAGAGGAAGAGGGGGAAGGAGAAGAAGTTCACAAAGCATGCCTCAGAAATAAGTTACTTAAAACAACAGGAACATGCGCACATTATTAAGCACATTGTTCCAGGTTCTGCTCTCTGAAACACAGTTATTAAGCCACATGTGGACTTGTAAAATGTTGGGAAAGATTGAGGGCACAAGGAGAAGGGGACGACAGAGGATGAGATGGTTGGACAGTGTTCTTGAAGCTACCAACATGAGTTTGACCAAACTGCGGGAGGCAGTGGAAGACAGGAGTGCCTGGCGTGCTCTGGTCCAGGGGGTCATGACGAGTCGGACACAACTAAACGACTAAACAACAACAACCAACTTGTAAATCTGTCCAGCTACTGGACAATTATTTTCTGTTAATTAATGAAGTACATCAGTCATTCAATTTGCATCTTACTGTTCTGGTTTTATTCCCTCAGAGCTGGAAAGGGTTTAAAAACAGTGGTGCCATGCAAGATTTCCTTTGCAAAAGAACTTCATGGCTGTTTAGCTGGATTTTGCGCACCCCTCATTTCCTGCAGCAGATTGTGGCTTTAATAAACAGTAAGATTTGCAGAAAACAACTCAACTACACGGCACTAAATCCGAAGCCTTTACAGACTAGAGAACTGCAAATGAGAATCTCCCTCTAAATACCTGCAATTTGTTACAGAAGATCATTAAAGGTAAAGGTAAAGGGACCACCTGACAGTTAAGTCCAGTCATGAACAACTCTGGGGTTGTGGCGCTCATCTCGCTTTACTGGCCGTGGGAGCCGGCGTACAGCTTCCGGGTCATGACTAAGCCGCTTCTGGCGAACCACAGCAGTGCACGGAAACGCTGTTTACCTTCCCGCTGGAGCAGTACCTATTTATCTACTTGCACTTTGACATGCTTTCGAAGATCATTACTTCCATTTAAAAATGGGCTTTAAACAAAACTGACACTTAGCAAGCTAACCCTCTTTTCTAAATGTTAATACAGCAACATTACTTAGGATTTTTATACAGTACTGCTTGTTCAAGCATGCTTAAGTTTATATAAATGATCTTAGTACTGCTTACAATGCTCCGGCATTTGGTTAAATGCTTACAGTGGGCCAGCATTTATTATCTCTATGTTGCAGATGGACAACTCCAGCCAAACTCAGCTTGTCTCAAGTGACTCCATACTGTTTTCCCCATTTCCCGCGAATGCATGGAAGTGGAAGGATAATTGGGACTATGATTGCTGTCTCCACTCCCAAAGCCTTTTTTTCACGTTACAAGGAAGGATTGTGTGCTTCACGCCTCCTTTCTGGTGCAGGCAAGGAGCTGCATTTGGAATGAACTGCGGTTTAGTGTCGTGTCTGAACCTTAAACTGTGCTGAATTTTAACTGCAGCTTGCAGAAGCAAGCCAGCTTCACAACCCATGGTTTGAATTTTGGCTTCTTTCAACAAACCTTTCACAAGTATGTCATTGCCTTCGGGTGTAGACTTGAGATGGAAGACTCTGGAGGCACTGAAAGAGGAAGAGGGAGGGGAGGCTGAGCAAAGCCTGTGTTAGGAAGTCCTTCCTGGGCAGGAGATAATGCTGGAACAAGAGTCCCAGATGCTTCTTCTCTCCTTGTGGATGAAGGAATGTTGTTGGACCCCGGGAAGAGCTCAGAGCCTAAGCCTGGGGTGGCTGAACAGGATTCAGAGGAGATGGGGTCTGGCGTTGTGTCCAAGGGCCAGGCAACACCTCTGCCATTGGGAACAGATGCACACCCACCCACCATTGTAGTGCATCAGGCTAGACATTCTTACAAGGCTAATTTTCCCAATTGAGGCTATATTGCTGGATGGATGTTCAACCTGCTAGGATAACTTTGCCACTCTTGTGCAGTTTTGATCTTGGACTTTGGAATTCTGGTCTAGCTCAGTTAACCTCTCCATCCTACTTGAAGAAGCTCTGGGACTGAGTTAGCTTTCACCTATTGCTGTACTTGCTTTGTAATAAAGGTATTTCTCATAAACTCAAGTAAGGGCCTCTGCTGTAGTGACTGGGGCAGGAGCCAGGGCAAAATCATAGTTAAAATTAATCAGAAATTAGTATGTTTGGATTAGGACATCTGAACAAGCTTCCACATGGATGTTAACACTTCTGAACTCCTTAAGGCCACACCAAGGAGCAGGAGAAGTGAAGAAACATACAATCACAATGTTCACTTTAGCTTATCTGTGTGGCAACAAACCATGGTTAAGCGTGACAGTGGTGCCTCGGGTACAGAACTTAATTCGTTCCAGAGGTCCGTTCTTAACCTGAAACTGTTCTTAACCTGAAGCACCACTTTAGCTAATGGGGCCTCCCGCTGCTGCTGAACCGCTGCCACGCGATTTCTGTTCTCATCCTGAAGCAAAGTTCTTAACCCGAGGTACTATTTCTGGGTTAGCGGAGTCTGTAACCTGAAGCGTCTGTAACCTGAAGCGCCTGTAACCCGAGGTACCACGGTACATTTGAACACAGCCAATGAGCTCTCAGGAGTTCAGTTCTTACGAAAGAGAAACAGGATTTATGGGTGTAACTCAAAACGCCCTAGAGTCAGCTTTGTGTGTGCAATGAGACATTTTAACTTATCCTTCAAATAAATAATTATCTTACCGTAGGACATGCCATATTTTGAGTTTGAAAAAACATTTGCAATGCAGGCAGTGGTGTTGGGGGGGAAAGAGTTGGGGCTTCAGAAGGCTCATTGTGAAAACACATGCCCTAGCTAAAAAGGGCCTAAAGGAACCCTTTAAATTGTAGACTTTGTCATTATTCCATTTTAAAATGAGATCCATTAGATTTAATCCAATAAACCACATAAGTGAGAAATTAAGTGCTCATGTGCAGTTTATGTGATTCACTGGGATTTAAGCAAGCTTAAATTCTTGACCTGTGGTCCATGTTTTTAGATTCCAGACCCCATCACACCTTAACTCTCCAGACTGTATAGCCTCAAGCCAGGTCTGATTAAAGGCTGGAAGTCCTTAAGATTTGCCATAGAAGCCTAGAGGATCATGCATAATTTGGCACTGTAAGGATCTGATCTTTTAAACCCATTTTATCCTTGAGGGGGATCATAAACAAATCTCAAAGGTGTATAAAAGTATTTCCCCTAACCTGCGCCAGTTCATAAACTCCTCCAATAAAGGGATCAATTCTTCCATTGTGTTGCAAAAACCACTCCCTATTTTGTTTTATTTTTGTTTAATTTCAGTGGGAAATGGGGTCAATCAGACCTAGAGATGTGGGAGGGAAAACTATTCTCTAATGGAAAACTATCCACTATGATATTTTTCTACTGGTTTTTCCCCCTTCTAAGTATGCATAATTAAGAAACAACATATATGGATGGGTCAGATCAATAATGCCAAATATTTAATTTTTTTCCTTATATGGAAAGCATATCTGGGACACAGTGTAAAAACAGGGTTTCCCAAACTTGGGTCTCCAGCTGTTTTTGGACCACAAATCCCACCATCCCTGACCACTGGTCCAGTTAGCTAGGCATAATGGGAGTTGTAGTCCAAGGACAGCTGGAGACCCAAGTTTGGGAAACCCTGGTGCAAAGGCTCAGAGGATCAGGCCATGATGCCCAGTTTTAGGTGGGGAAATATTTACAGATTAGCCATTTTACTATTACATTTGCGAGGGACAAGGGTGGCGCTGTGGGTTAAACCACAGAGCCTAGGACTTGCCGATCAAAAGGTCGGCGGTTCGAACCCCCACGACGGGGTGAGCTCCCGTTGTTCAGTCCCAGTTCCTGCCAACCTAGCAGTTCGAAAGCACGTCAAAGTGCAAGTAGATAAATAGGTACCGCTCCGGCGGGAAGGTAAACGGCGTTTCCATGCACTGCTCTGGTTCGCCAGAAGCGGCTTGGTCATGCTGGCCACATGACCCGGAAGCTGTATGCCGGATCCCTCGGCCAATAAAGCGAGATGAGTGCCGCAACCCCAGAGTCGGCCACGACTGGACCTAATGGTCAGGGGTCCCTGAGAGACAGGTAGATAGTCCCTGGCAGGCTATTCTCACCACCTTACAGCAGGAGGTGACAATGTGGTCAGTAGAATGCTAATATCATCTTGACCAACCTTCTGTTAATGTAGAGCCTATGAACCAACTTTAGCCTGCCAAGACTGTTCCTTCCCCTCTAGCTCCACACCTGGCATCCTATGTGCTGTTGGTGTGCGGCAGGTACCAATGTGGCTTCAAGAAAACAACTGGGAGCTGCTCGAATTTTACTAGCTAAGAAGTGGAAAACGCAAGAATTACCAACGGTGGAAGAATGGCAGATGAAGATGATGGATTTTTCGGAGCTAGCCGACCTGACCAGAAGAGTCCGTGACCAGAAGGAGGAGGAGTACCAGGAAGAATGGACAAAATTTAATGACTATTTAGTTAAATATGTTAAGTTAAATTAATTGGAAAAAGCTTGCAATTACCAGCTAGGCTTAGGATTTAAATATGTAATGTGATGAATTAATATGTTTAATGCTGAATTGGTAAGAAAGAAAGATGTTAAGTGATTAAGTTAAGTATTTAAGAACTTTGATTTGGAAAACAAAATAATATGCATTGAAATTCAACTAAGGGTATACGAGGAAGTCACTTAACAATGTTAATAATTAAGTTTTAATTAATTAATAATTAAGTTTTAATAAGGTTATGATTTATGTTTATTTGTTTGTGTGTTTATACGTTTGTGAAAATCAATTAAAAAAATTGTGGGGGGGGAGGAAACAGCTGGGAGCTTAAAAGGAACTCCCAATGAATCATTTCTTTTCTGGAACAAGGTGCATTCCCTCCATCCATCAACTGATAGGCAATAGAAGCACGCCTTGCTCCAGGATCAGGAAGGAGTTTGCCTTGAACCACCCTGCTAGAATGGACCCCCCCTTTTTTTTTG